GCCTAGGCCTCCCCACCGACCCCGGCCTCGCGTCCCGGCGCAGGCGGCAGAAGGGAGGCGGAGGCGCGCTGAGCTCACACAGCTTTACCCCCGTTACTCGCTTTTCCACGATCCGAGCCCAAAGTCCCAGCAGGGCTCCGTGAGGCCTCAGGCACCGGGCTCCGCCTGGAGGGGCCCCGGCTGTCACCACCACAGGAAGTGTAAACCCCAAAGGCCGCTCCCCTCCACCACAGCACCCATCAAAGTAAATGTTTGGTGTTTTGTTTTTTTTAATGTCCTCACATCACCAGCCCTAAGGGCACGGCCCGCAGGTAGTTAAAAACGTGACCTAACGCAAGTGAGGTTAAAAAAATCATCTAAGTTGGTTAAGTAAAAGTTCAGAGATGGAGCAGAGAAGCCCCCGCGGGGCACAGGCATCTCCGTAAATAAATATTGGCCATCGAACTCCTCCCTAAGCGGGTAGTGGTTACAAAAATACTTTCTCTAGAGGTGTAAGGGCAGGTTAATGGGATGTCAGCGCTCAGGGAGGGAGCGGGCGACGGGTTAATGTGCTTCAGCGGAGGAAGACGCTTCCCTCCTGGCGATTCCCTGCATAAGGACCTCGCGGGGAATCCATCGCTTCCCGCCAGCGTTGGCCCTCCGATTAGTCATCGTTTTCCTCCAAAAGGCTGAATCCGACTAGATCATAAAGCAGCTTTTCCAGAACAAATCCTTTCATAAAGGCATTCATCCAGAGGAACGTATTTTCCCAACTTTAGATCCAAAAAATACAACCGATCTGAGGTTTGGTGGGGGTCGAATCCTTCCCTCTGTAAGCGGGTTTTCTGAATCTTAAATGTACCTTCAAAAAGAGGGGGGAAAAAAAAAATTAAAAATACTTTGCATGAAAAACTCCTGTTTAGGCATCAGAGCGAGGAGGAAATGTCCCAGGTGGCATTTCATTCAAAAAAAAGTTTTGCCTAAGAATTTTAGCAACTCAAAGCTTGTTAACCGTCCTCGTCGTTACCGGAGTTCTTACATAAACCTGGCGCAATTTTTACTTCTCCTCACGCAAGAGCTGGTAAAAGGACCCGGTAAAATTCCTGGGAAACAACGGAAAATGCAGCAGCCGAAGAGCAGCCGACTTGGCCGTTAGTTGTACGTGAATAAAGCCCCGGCAAAGGCAACGGGCAGCGTACACGAAAGCGAGAGGTGCCCGTTCCTAGAGAGAGATCTGGTCTATAAGGGCCTGGAACTAGCTAATTTCTTGTTTAAAACTTAACTCCCGTCATCATTTTTACGGAAACGCTTCCACCAAGCGCCCTCCGGGATCTGAACTTCCCCGCGGAGCAGCCGGATCACCAATACCTGTGGTGTCCACCTGGGGTAGGAGCCGGAGAAAGACGGGTCGGGCGTAGGGAGGCAAAACCTTCTGCAGCTCCCGGTACAGGACGTTGGGGTTGACTTTAGCTTTGGGATCTGCGATCGCCGCCATCCCAGCTTTGCCCTCCACCCCTGAAACAGAAAAGCACTGCTCGCAGAATTACAAAAACCTTTGTTTTTCTCCGAGGAAATACGTAGGTATTTCCTCCTGTGCCTCTTCAAGACGAAGCGCAAACGTGCTGAGGGAAACCCAATTTAATACCGGCGGCTCCCAGTCCGTTGCCTTTCTCCCTAAACCCCGACAGCTCCGACGCGATGTTTTTTACCTGGTACTTCCACTCCGTACACCGCGACATCCGTCTGGTTGAGGATATGACTCAACGTTCCTTCCACCTCGGTGGTAGAGACGTTCTCTCCTCGCCATCGGAAGGTGTCCCCGCTGCGATCTTTGAAGTACATGTAACCGAGTTCGTCCATCACCAACACATCTCCTGGGCAGAGGGAGAGGAGAAACCAAAAACCACCTCGGGATTCAAGTTCGTTAGCGCTCCGGGCTGCCTCACTGCCCACCACTCAGCGTCACCCCATTTTCTTCCCAGAAATTGTCGTTTTCTTCCCAGAAATCACGTGGTGACTTCCCACTGCATCTCCATGTTACAAAAAAAAAGCAAGAGCAGGGGGGAAAAAAAAAAAACAAACCCTCCACCTCTGAAATGTTCATTTTTTTAAATAAATCAACAGCTGGCAACTTCAAAATGCTAAGACGTGTTCCTCTCAAAAGAAAAATCCCAGATTTAGGTCTCTGGAGACCTTTTTTGCACGAGGAACATCCGTAATTCTGAAATACCTGAAAGGTATGCCTGGTCCCCTTTCCGAAGCACGTTGTAAGCGATCTTCTTGTTGGTGGCACTCTCGCTGACGTAACCGTCGAACCGACGCAGGGGATCCTGTTGATTTATCTGACCGACGAGCAATCCCGGCTCTCCTGCAGGAAACGGGATCAACACAAGACGACACCGACATTTCACGACAAGCTAAACTTTGCGCGCGCCAAAAGACGTTCAGTCGCTGAACCGATCCATCTTTGGAGGAAAGAAGTGGAAGTGAAAACCGGTATACAACACCAGAAACCCCTTAAACCAGCCAGGGCTTTTTTTTTTTTTTCATTTTTAGGACAAAAAGCTGTGATTTGTTTGGGTTAACACTCACCTGGGTGACAAGGGATACACAGTCCACCGGAATCCCGGATCAGCTCCATCGTGTCCTCATTTACCTTCACCAAACGAATGGGATAAACATTGGGCAAAATCCGACTGTTGAAGCCACAGGCACCAACCTTCCAAAAAGAAAGAAAGAAAGGGGAAAACAAAAAAAAAAAGCTGAAGAGAACGGCTTGGGTTTTGCATTATCGCTTTCTGGGAATTCTCTGCTTTTCCCTCCCTTTCCATTTAAAGGCAAATTCACCCAAAACGTACGATTTTTCCCAGTTTTTTTGTGCACTCCACCCCTAACTACTCATTTTAGCTCCCTGCCATCCCTCACAAGAGGACCAGGAGGAGCCAGAGAAGCCAGCGGAGCATCTTTCCTTCCCGCGCACCCCTCTTCCTCCTCACCTTCCCGTCCAAGTTGGCAATGCTGCAGTTGCACTCCGTGGCCCCGTAGAATTCCCCAATCTGCTTAATTCGGAAGCGCTTTGTGAACTCCTCCCATATGGTGGGTCTCAACCCATTGCCCACCGCCAGCCGCACGCAGTGTTGGGTTTCTGACTCTCGGACCGGCTGATTCAGAAGATACCTGCAGATTTCCCCGATATACTGAATAATCTGAAGCAGTAAACACAAAAACATCGCTCAGGCTTCAGGCGACGCTTACAACGCCCCGGAAAAAGCTGACCACGAGGCCACCAGCGTCAGCATACCTCGTGGAACGTGACACGTCAGGCGTTTTAATTAACTGCGAGTGGTTGCAAGTTTAAGTCGGGGTTTCTTGCCACGAAAAAAAAAGCAAAGGTAAAGCGGTTACTGCCCTCTGGAACCCACAGGCGTTAGCACCAGAAAAGAGGACGGGAGGGATGCCTCAGCACGAATAAAGACACTCGTACAAAGAAAAACCCTCGTGGTTTAATAGACGCGCTCAAAGACCTCTAGAAAGATAACGGGGAACGAGTGGTCAACGATAAACTAACAGCAAAACGCAGTCGGAGTGGAGATCCAATTACCAGCTATAAATCCTGCCGGCGGGAGAAGGGCAAGCTAAACGCCAGGGAGGAGAAAAAGCTGCTTAAATTAGAAGGTGATGTTGACATAAACACAAATAGATGTTTATCAGCTATGAACTGCCAAGAGAATTCCTCCGCAGGGATTCCTAATGCCGATAAAGTCTGGCAGAGCTTTCCCTGCAACAGTAAGCATTCTTCTGGAGAAACCGGCTGCTCATGGCTCCGCCAAGCGGACTCTTCGCTGGGTGAAAAAAAAACCGGCTGAGTGGCCGGGCCCAAAGCATGGCGAGGAATGGAGTTAAATCCAGTTGGCGGCAGTTAAATCCGGTGTTCCCCAGGGCTCAGTGTCAGGGCCAGTTCCGTTTAATATCTTTTATCAACGATCTGGACGAGGGGATCGAGGGCACCCTCAGTCCGTTTGCAGAGGACACCAAGCTGGGCGGGAGTGTGGATCGGCTGGAGGGCGGGAAGGCTCTGCAGAGAGACCTGGACAGGTTGGGTCGATGGGCCGAGGGCAGTTGTGTGAAATTCAACGAGGAGAAGTGCTGGGTCCTGCACTCGGGTCACAACAACCCAACAAGGGTCACAACAATCGCCCTCTACAACTCCCTGACAGGAGGGTGTAGCCAGGCAGGGGTCACTCTCTTCTCTCAAGTAACGAGAGACAGGATGAGAGGAAATGGCCTCAAGTCGCACCGGGGGAGGTTTACATTGGATATGAGGAAGAATTTCTTCACCCAAAGGGTTGTCAGGCCCTGAAAGAGGCTGCCCAGGGAGGGGGTGGAGTTTCCATCCCTGGAGGTGTTTAAAAGAGGTGTAGATGTGGCGCTTAGGGACATGGTTTAGCGCTGGGCTTGGCAGTGCTAGGCTAACGGTTGGACTCAATCTTAAAGGTCTTTCCAACCTAAACGATCCTATGATTTTCTAAGATGGATGAAAGACCTTTTCTAAAGTCCTGCACACTTAAAGCAGCACCAGCGGTTTGAAGATGCCACGGCACAGGCACCTCGATATCCAACAAGGGACAGGGAATTATCTGGAGATGACTAATTAAGCAGCGAACCTGGCGCTCTCCAGTCGAGCACCAAAGATAGCGACCGCAGAGCCCTCACCGTGCATCTGTACTTCGCGCAGTCGTCCCAGAAGCGACTGGCCGAGAACTTCTTCCTGATCACCACGGTGAGGCCGTGGATTAGACACTGCCCGACTCCCATGATGTTACCTGGAAAACAAGGATCACAGGAGCTAGCTCCGGCCATCCTGGGTTCATTCGCTCAACAAGGACACAGGAAGGAGCAGGCACGGGGGAGACCAAAGCCTGACCTCCGTCTCTGAGGATGAGGAGGCTTACCTGCAGAATGATAGAGGGGGAGGCAGTTGTAGAGGACGTCCTCTGGGCGCATTCTGTAGGCGTAGTAACCGAAGGCAGCGATACGGTAATACCTGCAAGAACACGGCGCACACTAAGCGAGCGAGATGGGTAACGCTTGGGGTTTCGTGATGTGAAATGCGGCTCAAAAGGGAAATACTTCCTCGGGTCCTCACCTGCTGTGCACCACAATGGCAGCTTTGGGCATTCCTTTTGTTCCTGACGTGTAGATGTAGAAGAGTCGATCTAGAAGAAGGGAAACAGGCGTCAGACAGACTGTTCTCAACCCCCTGAGAAAATCCCCACGGGGTTTGTTTTGTGGTTTAGAGACTAGATCAGCTCTCCAGGTCAGACATTAATTCTGAATCAAGCAAGAAGAAAGGTCTGGACCTGTGTCTGACAGTAGGGCAAGTATCTAACTCCGTGATTTAAAAATATAAACTAAAAGAAAAGCCTCTTAGCAGCATTGCTCCTCGTCCTGCAAACAAAGTACCAAAATGGAGTCTCACGCCTCAGGGATCTCAGATGCTCTTAAGTGTCTTAAAGTAGGAAATCCAGACTGGAGGCCAGACAGCATCTTCCTTTCCCTCTCCTGAATCCCAAATCCACCACAGGCAAGGCAAGATTTTAATCACACACAAGGCAGCCATGGGGGAAGGTAATAGGGGCTGTTAAACACCACTGACAAATCAGACGGATTCGTGGAGCTAGTGAGGCGCTAGGTAAGTCCTGGCACACCGGCCGCTCCACCCCGCATGCGTTCCAGCGGCTGTTCTCCTGTAACGGAGGGGTTGTCTTTGGCAAGACACCAATCTCCCTCCTTCGGGTACTAAATACGTTAGTTACGTAAAGCCTGGGAGTCTCAGACAATGCGAGACTTAACCCAGAGTACTCTGGAACAAGGACCTCTCTATTTTTTTTTTCCCCTCCTTCTTTTTTCCTCCTTTCTTCTATTTGTGAGCCCAAGCTGGGTTGATTTAATCCCTCCATCTTGCTTAGTTTTCATGTTTTGCTGTCCCCTAGTCCAGCGCTCACACACATCACACTGAGGAACAGAAGTTGCCGATGACATTACCATCTAAACCTTTGACTGGAATCTGAGTTGGGGGCGATTTCGATGCGGTACCCAGAAGAGGATCAAGATGTCTGGTCTCCACAGGAACGACATCTGGGTTGTAGTCACCAGAGCAGAATTTTGCCATGTTCTTCCCCAACATCCCGTTCACTTCAGATATCGCTGCAAGACAAAGCAAGTCGCTTTTACAACAAACATAACGCTCTAGGTGGTGGCGAAAATAATCCGTGTAACATCTCATTGTGCCCCAAAACCACGGACAGGCCCGAAGAACCAGGGATTCCGCTAAAAGACATCACGGCCGTCCAGGTAACATCCGCATCGGCACGGTCAGACTGACGCAGGCGCAGTAAAGACCCTGACAAAAAAACTACGCGAAATTACCTCTCCCCACGACCACGTCACAATCTTCAAGTAATCTAGAATTGTTTCAAGGAAAAATAAATCACCAGATCTAACAATAACCACGGGAACAGAGCTCACCAGAGAAGCAGGGATGTATTTAAACCCAGCAGCCACTGACAAACCTCACCTGCGGCAGAAAGCGTGGCATTAAGCGAAGAGCATTAACACGGCAAAAGAGCAAAATACACCTTGCAGCACGCGTCGCCACTTCTTAACGAAGCGCGAGGCTCCTGATGCAGCTCTTCGGGCACCGCGATATCAGGAAGATGCCGGCAGATGAAACTGAGCTACTGACTGCTCTACTCAAAACACCGCTCGTCTTTTCGCCTCAGACACTAACCGAACGCTTCTGCCTTTTGCAATCAGGAGATTTACCGCCTTCCCTAGCTTTTAATAGCGCCAGCTGCCTCTCTGGTTTTAGTTTCCTCGGTCTCTGCCTTATTCTGGACCAAGCAAACAGTTCACGAGTTGCCCATAACGCATACGAACACCCAAGCGACTCACCGGAAGACAGCTCCCCTCCGAAGATCACGGCTTTCGCACCCGAAGTCATCACGCAGTAAACCAGAGAATCCAAGCGTAAATTGAAGTTGATCAGAGCCGCCTCGATGCCGATCTTTGCCATCCCTAGCCAGAGGCCAACAAACTCGGGACGGCTCTCCATAAAGATCGCAATGACGTCCCCCAGTCGGAAACCTTGCTGGTAGAAGTAGTTAGCCACGGCGTTGGAATACTCATCCAGCCTCCGGAAGGTCCACTGCTCACCAGTGGCTTCGTAAATCAGGGCCACTTTGTCGGGGTGCCTGCGGACAACATCCTGGAACATCTTGGGGATGGTGCTTTTGGCTTTTTGATGCCTTCGTAACTTGTACTTGACTCGTAACAGCACTGAGAGGCCGCTGCAGCAAAGAAAGAGCGTAACGACTTAATTTTCAGTACAATTTCTAAATTAGAAGGGATGTGGGCGGGATGTGAGTGTCCCACCGGCATCCCCCTGCCCTCGGACAGCTGTAAGCGTTACCCTGAAACTGGAACTTTTAATCACTGCTGCTCTACAGAGAGCGACGGCTATTTTAACATTACGGTAAATAAACAGTAGACAGCAACTGTTCTGGTACTTTCCAGGCTATAAAACACAGGGAATCCATCTTCACATTGATACCAACTCAAACGAGCCCACAGGAAATATTAAAGAGGGTAAATTACGCCTTTTAACAGTGTCTTCCACCATCCCTAAAAAAAAAAAGGAATTGGCAACCATTGCTTTTACCTAGAAAGGAAGCAAATGCACTTCACGCGGGAAGCGTCTTTCTTGCCAGCATCTTTGTGCCATTTCATACAATTGCACCCCTCAGGACCCAAAAGCATTTAAACGACAAAGACAACTCGACCCTTCGATAACAATGCGCGGCCTCGGCTTCAAGAGAACAAAGCCAAAGGCTTCCCCTTTCACCCACAAGACGTAAGGAGAGCCAGCGTGTTGCTTGTGGGCGCATTTTCCTGTGAGTCAGTCTCTGTCGCAGTCCTGGGATGATAGGAAGCGAGGCCATCTAAATCCTACCAGGCAGAAGCCATAGATTTTAATAATAATTAATAAATAATAATA